AAAAAAAAAAAAAAGAAAGAAAGGCTAGCAGGGGCTTGGTGGGGATTTCAGGGTCCTCTGCACCTTGTTATCCCCCTATTACTCAAGGGCTCCTATTGAGGTCCATGGTGTCCCTTGCTAACCAGAGTTCCACCTCTGCAGATCTTGGAGAGCCAGGTTCTGTGCTTTCTGTAACCTCCTTGAAGTTACTAAATGGGATAGTCTCTGTCCAGTTCTAGCCAACCCTGACCTGACACTGGCCACAGAGCTAAGAGAGGTGCACACAGTTGTGGCCACTTCTCCAACGTAAGGCCCAGAGCAGTTATCTCTCCTCACCATGCTAAGACCCATAGGGGTAGCATCTCACTGGCTGCTCTGCCTGTCCTCAGTCCCAACCAGGGAACTCTGTCTGCTCTGGCTGCAGCTCACTGAGTATTTTTCTCCCCACAGGCAATCAGGTTCTCCTGCTTCTAATCGTGACATACTCTGTTCTGATACTCCACCCCTAAGCCGGCCCTGCCAGCCCAGGACAGCATCTACCAGGATGAGGAAGGAAGATGGGGGACAAACCCCATGGACTGCAGAGCAGGATAGGACAGTGGATAGTACAAAGGAACCAGCTGAACCCACAGGGACTGGCCACGTACCCAGATCAGTAGCAAGCTGCCAGGAGCTGGTAGGGTCAGTTGGTGTGTTTGTGACCTCCCAAGAACACAGTCCCCAATCCCTATTACCCAGTGCCTTCTCCTCTGGCACAGATCAGACACTTGGTGGTCATAAGCGGAAGATTCAGTTCCCAAGTGGCAGTGCCAAGAAGAGATCAGGGGCCTCCTGGCGACATGCCTCATTTTTTATCCCAAGAGCCCTCTACCCCTGCGGTGCCATGACCACTGATGACAAGGATATTCTCTCTTTTTCTCTCTCAGACTTCTTGTTCCCTTGGCATCCCTCGGATAGACAGGTAGCGCTCTGGGCTCCACAGCCCGTCTGGCCTAGAGGAGAATGGCCCCCAGAGTCTGAGGATTCTGAGTGTGCAGCTCCTGCTCCTGGCCCTGCGCCCCAGCAGACAGACCTGCTCCCCAGCTTCCCCACAGCCCCAGGCCAGCCACCAGCCTACCTGCTCTCTATAGCAGATGAGCCTTCAGAGAGCCCATCTCACTCACTCCCCCACCCTCTGCCAGCGGGAACCCGCTGCTCCCAATGGCTCTGGGTCCCCCAGACTCTCCAAATGGCCTGTCTCCCTGTCCTGCAGTCTGAGCCCCCCACCCAGTGCTAGCAGAGAGCTGGTCCTGTGACTCCCTAGGTGCCCTCAGAGCTATAGATAGACTCAATTTACTTCCTGGCCGGGGCTGCTCAGGGAAGCAGAAGGAGCCCAGCCTTTGAGGTACAAGTAAGTAGCTGGGCTCTGTAGGACCCATGGGGCTCGGTCTTCTGCCCAACAGGTCTTTGGACAGGACCAAGAGTCTGAGCTGGAGGCTGCCCTCTCCTCTCCCTGCCTCCAAACAGATCCTAACCAGGCAACCAGGCATCATTCTGCAGTGGGCTTTCCCAACCAGAGCCAGCTGCCCACGCCAGGAAAGAGGCAGAGTTGGCATAGGAAGGGACCACAAAGAAGCAGGAGTGGTCTAGCTTCCTGCCCTGTGCCCCCAGGCACTTGCCTCTTGGCAGTACCTAGGGTTAGTTGTTCCCCACCCCCACCCCAGCCTCCTTTCCCACAAGCATGTGGTCTCTCCTGTTTTCTGAAATCCTGTGTGTCCCCTCCCCCAGCCCCCCACGCTCACACAGATCCTCAGGAACATATGAAGCAGAGGAGGGGCTCAGCTGCAGCACTTACCATGCTCCCTCCCCCATACACTTAGCTGGGGCCAGCACTGACCTTTCCCCCTGAGCCAGGATGTGGCCTGAGTCCCCTCCAGAGACCCTCTCAGCAGCCCACCTGGGGCTCTGCTGTTCCAGGGTTAGTGTCTCACCTGCCAACTTCTACATCTCCCTCTTCCCTCCCTCCTTCCCCAAGGACCTCCCCCCCATTTCTGACTGCCAAGCCATTAATCTGGAAGCAGAAATGGGTTTGCTATCGATTCTTTGGCCACTTTGTTGTTTTTTTTTTAAATCATAATTGGTACTGTGGTTCTTCTCACCCTTCTCTGCCTTTGTTGTGTGTTTGTCTCTTTAAATGTTGAAGCTGCCGGAAGCCTGGTGCTATTCTGTCTCCTTTCAGAGGAAGGAGGGGGAGCCTAGTTTTGGGTGAGGACCTGAGTTGTTAGTTTGGAAATAGAGCATCTGTGTACACGAGCCTCCTTAGAGGCCCCTTTTGGCCTTTTTATGCCATTCCTGTTAAATTTCACAATTAATCTTGATTTAGGAAATGTAAATAAATTTGTTAATAATAAGTAGAAAAGAGGTGGGCCAGGAGTGCAATGTTTTGGTCCCCAATCTGCCCTTCTGTGACCCAAGGCAGGGGTGAGGGCCTTGCCAATGTCACCACCCTCCTGTAGGCTGGCCCCAGGCCAGGGGGAGTGAGGGAATCTGCCCTGCCTCATCTTGACAATCCTATCTGCCTGGTGACTAGTCGCCCTACAGAGGGCATGCTGGTCATCCATGCCAAGAACACTCCGCCTAACAGGCATTTCTGCTCCAGGCCCTGCCCAGTTTCCTAGTCAGGCTCCACCCATGAGCGAGGGCTTGCTTTGCGACTCTGTTGAAAACCTCCTTTCCTTTTGTGATGTGTAACCAAACTTGTTTCCTGGAAGTTTCCTCTTGCCCTTCCTCAGACCTCACTGGCACCTTCACATGCGGCACACTCGAGCCCCCGAAACCAGCTTCTGCCCATCTCTCCACACAAGGCCCATCCCCCACTGCACAGCTGGCCCATCTCAAAGATTGTGACCTTTGACATCTGCTGCTGTAGTCATTTGTCTATTCCAGCTTGTACACTGTAGAGTTACATTAGTGGGGAACCCTCAAACACCTGACACCTGACCAGGATGAATGAGTGCTACCTGACATGAGTTGGGCCCCTCAGTGACTCACTGACCTGAGCACTGCTGACACTTGAAGTCCACTTCCCCTTGCTCAATAGGCACTGTACCATTTGGCTATCCAGCCCCCTTCATGTTGCTCTTTGGTTTTCTTTCAAAGGAGCAATGTCCTTCTGGGAAGGACTGCCAGGCCTGGGCCTCCAGTCACCCTTGTCAATTTCCTTCTCAGACTCTGAACCTCACCTTTGCCAAAAAGCTTGATATTCTTCCACCCTGGAAGATACCGGAGTTGATTCAGCAGCTTGAAGAAGGTGCATCTTCTTCTCTGGCTATTTCTCACACAGCCTCTGCCTACTGCCTCCATACCTTCCCTTTCCCCTTTTGCAACATGCCACCCGGCCTGTGTATTCCAAGGTCATCAGATACTTCAACAGGACGAAGTCAGATTTTTCTCCTTGAAATCCTAGCCCCAGTATTCCCATGTCTTCCCCCCAAACCTGCCCACTACCCACCCATCTATACAACAGGACCCTTGTTTTCCCTCCCCACACCAGTGCTTTCACTTCTGCAGATGTGACCTGGTGCTCTCCTAGTGGCTCACACCTGTAATCCTAGCTGCTCAGGAGGCCAAGATCTGAGGATCACGGTTCCAAGCCAGCCTAGGCAGGAAAGTTCATGAGACACTTGGTTGTTTTTGTTTTTGTTCAGTCATGGAGCTTAAACTCAGGGCCTGGGCACTGTCCCTAAGGTCTTTTGCTCAAGGCTAGTGCTCTGCCACTTTGAGCCACAGCTCTACTTCCAGATTTTGTTTTGTTTTGTCTTGTCTTGTTGGTCGTGGCCTGAACTCTGGGCCTGGGCACTGTCCCTCAGTTCTTCAGCTTAAGGCTAGCACTCTACCACTTGAACCATAGCACCACTTCTGGCTTTTTCCGCCTCGTGCATGCAAGGCAAGTACTCTACCACTGAGCCACCTTCCCAGCCCTTGTGGGGTTTTTTTGTTTTTAATATTATAAAGGTGATAAACAGGAGTTATAGTTACATAAGTCAATTAAAGAGTAAATTTCTTTTTTTGGACAATGTTACCTCTTCCCTTGCTCTCTATCACTTCTGGTTTTTGAGTGGTTAATTGGATGTAAGAGTCTCACAGGGACTTTTCTGTCCCAGCTGGCTTCCAACTGTGTGGTCCTCAGATCTCAGCCTCCTAAGTAGCTAGGATTACAGGTGTGAGCCACAAGCACCTGGCTTTCATGGGGCTCTTATCCCCAATTAAACACTGAAAGAGCCAGAAGTGGAGCTGTGGCTCAAGTGGTAGAGTGCTGCCTTGAGCTGAAGAGCTGAGAGACAGCGTCCAGGCCCAGATTTCAGGCCCCACGACCCACCAAAAAAAAAAAACCAGGGAGACCATAGCTGGGCACTGATGGCTGTAATCCTAGCTACTCAGAAGGCTTAGATCTGAGGATCATGGTTCAAAGCCAGCCCAGGCAGGAAAGTCTGTGAGACTTATCTCCAATAAAACACGAAAAAACCGGAAGTGCCGCTGTGGCTCAAGTGGTAGAGCGCTTGCCTTGAGCTGAAGAGCTGAGGGACAGCACCCAGGTGAACAGTTCAAGCCCCACAACTGACCAGAGAGAGAGAGAGAACCATAGTTTCCCTTTTCTTTTGTCCTTGTATTTCTCCACCATTCTCCAACTCCTGCCTGTCAGCCAGTTTGAAGTCTCACTCCCTTTGCCTCCTGGACATCCAGCCTGCCACCCACCCACCTCCTCTTCAGTTCAACTCCATTTTCTGGTACCTAACTCTGAGCTCTTAAGTTCCTGAAGCTTAGTTTTCTGAGTTGGAAAGGTGTAGGTAATAAGTGATTTGGCCCTGCTAGGAAGTAACAGGAATTAGATTCATGTGCTATACTTGGCACAGAGTTTGGCACATCTCAATAAACATTGCCTACCCCCTACAGCTGTATGCTCTCCTAGACACTTAAATGGAGTTTATTTCTATGAATCTCCCACCTTGCAATGTCCTTCTGTGACCAACACCTCATCCTAAGGGCTCTCCATGCTCCAGGAGAGCAAGGCAGCAAAGCCTAGGGGTGCTTAACAATATCCATGTCCCTCAAGGCCCTTGGGCCTGTGCTCCTGGGAACCTGGTATCCCATGTGCATCCAGCTCCTCCCTGGGCAGGATTGAGAGCTGTGGGGTTGCGGGAGGATCTGGGAGGGGCTCCAATGAGGACAGACAGTCCTTTGACCTGGGCCTTCACCTCAAAGCTGGATGAGCCTCCTGTCCAAGTGCTATGACACTTCCCCTTCCCCCACCCCTCCCCATGTCACCAAGCGTCTCTGCATCACTGGGTATAGATCGGGTACCAAGGCTCCCAGGCCACAAAGGGTTCCTCTTCAGCATCGTGCATTGCTCCAAGTACACAGGTACCCAATCCTCCCCAGCAACCTGGGATGAGAGGCAGGCTCGGAGAGGCTGAGAGCTTGCTTAAAGTTGGAGAATGGTGGAGAAATACAAGGACAAAAGAAAAGGGAAACTATGGTTCTCTCTCTCTCTCTGGTCAGTTGTGGGGCTTGAACTGTTCACCTGGGTGCTGTCCCTCAGCTCTTCAGCTCAAGGCAAGCGCTCTACCACTCTCCCCCTGTAAGTGAGGAATTTGGGATTGGGACCCCAGTCAGGACTTGTACATCTTTCTTCATTGGCAGGCCTGGTCTGTGCTACAGGGCACCAAGACTAGATAGTTCCATTAGCAGGAGTCACACTGTCCAACAGCCAATACTGCACTGCTTTTTTTTTTTTTTTTTGTCTGTCGTGGGGCTTGAACTCTGGAGATAAGAGTCTCACGGACTTTCCTGCCCGGGCTGGCTTTGAACCTCAATCCTCAGATCTCAGCCTCCTGAGTAGCTAGGATTACAGGCGTGAGCGCCCAGCAATACTCCTCTTACCTGCAGTTTCTGAGATAAGGTTGGGCTCATCACCTTGGCCCTTTTGCAGGGAAATTTGAAAAATTGGTGGGAAAATTGCAGGGAAAAGAGCTCAGGCCTCCTGGTGGGACCAGACCCTTGGAGGAAGATGGCAGCAAAAATATTGGCCACGAACCTGAAGTGACAGACTAAAGCCAGCCACCACCATGGAGTTGGAGTGCGGACCTGGCAGGGAGCACTCTAAGTGGCAATCACAGTCTCTGCCCTAATCCAGGAAAAACAGCCTTTGGGGCCAGTCTAATGAGGGGAGATTTCCCTCTCCCCCCACCCCCATCTTGGGGCTTAATCTCAGGGCTTGGTGACTGTCCTTGAGCTTTTTTGCTCAAGGCTAGGCTCTACCACTTGAGCTACAGTTCCACTTCTAGCTTTTTGGGGGTTAATTGGACATAAAGAGTTTCACAGACTTTCCTGCCCTGGCTGGCTTCAAACCATGATCCTCAGACCTCAACCTCCTGAGTAGCTAGGGTTACAGGCATGAGCCACCTGCACCTGGCTGTCTATTCTTGTCGGTTGTGGGACTTGAATTCTGGGCCTGGGCGCTGACCCTCAGCTCTTCAGCTCAAGGCAAGCACTCTACCACTTGAGCCACAGTATCAATTCTGATTTTCTGGTGGTTGAGATAAGAGTCTCATGGACCTTCCTCCCAGGCTGCCTGTGATTCTCAGATCTTAGCCTCCTGCGTAGTTAGGATTATAGGCTGACTGCCAGTAATCAATTCCCCCACTGAAAGACATTTCCTGACCTTAGCAGGAGAGGAGCAGCCTCCTGCTTGGCCAGATACCTTGTATGGAGCTGAACCAGTACCAGATAGAGGGAGGTGGAACCTCGGGCTGGGAAGGGGTGTGTCAAGGAAGAGTCAAGATATCCAGCTGGGTGCTTGCAAAATGAGGGGCCCAGGGAGAAAAGGCTGTTGGAGACAGCCTTTTGGGGCCCCAACTGAAAATGGCTGGAGTGCCACAAGAGTAAAAGCCGGAGACGAGGACAGTCTACCCAAGGGGAAGCAAAGTCAGTACCTTATGTGGTAGAATAGGAGTATGCTTCCATCATAGACTTGAAAGTCCCATTCAAGCTCAGTGTATTCATGTAGGGACTCTGGGGCTCTCCACTGTGAAGCAAGCCTTGCCCAGCCTCTGGAGGCACATCTGCTCAGGGCTCACCCGTGTGCCTGGAGGCATGGGGAGGCATGATGGGCAGACCAGTCCCCCTAGTGTCTGAGGTGACAAATGAAGCAGTGAGAAGCCAGCTGGAGCAGTCACTCTGGTGCAGGGAAGGGGAGGAGGTAGGGGCAGCCGGGGAGAATGGGCCCCTGATAGTTGGGAGCCCAACCTCTCATTAAACAGCTGTGAGACTGAGAAGCTAGTTCCCACCTGTAAAATGGGAGCCCGTCTATCTGGCCCTCTGCACCCTGCCTCCCTCCCACTAGGCTCTACTGACTTTACAGGGACAAAGGCATACCAGGCCTTCAGTCCTGGGAGCCTCCTCACCCATACCATACCTACATCCTGGAGATTTTTCAAGGTATCTACAGAGTGAAGGAAGAATTTGCTCAGCCTTGCTGAGCATGTGGGGCTGGAATGGCAGGTGGTTGGGGGGGGGGGTCACCTCCTTCCCAGCATTGATGTCAGTGCCTCCTGGGAAATTGCCTTCTCACCTCTCCTGGGCCTAAAATAGAGCTGGGGGGGGGGTAGGGAGGAGTAAGACTGTCACAAGCCAGAGGCAACTCTCATCCCCAGCAGAGGTCCCAGGGAAGAAGAGAAGAGGACCAGGAAGGAGTTCCCTGTCTCCCAATGTTAATATAAAAATACTCTAGTCAAGGGGGCTTCAGCATCAGCGCACACACACACACACCACACATCTCAGGTACTGGCTCCTGGGAACTCAGCAGAAGTCAAAGATCACAGTCCCAGTGTGGGAATCCATCTTGCCCAGAAGACTAGGAACTGAGTTAAGGAAGCAACTGGGACAGTTGGGCTTGGGGGTACATTTGGGGAGGTGGGTTGGAAGGCTTAGTAAAACCAGAGAGGAGGTGGATCCCCCAAGTGTCTCCTTAAAGATTGGGACAAGTTTAGGGAGCAGAAATGGGGCATGCTAACTGTATGTAAATGACCTGGATTGTGTTTAGGAGGAAGGTTTGGGATACCCTACTTGAGGGACTCAGGATCCCAGAGGGGAGGGAAGGCCAGTCTCTCCTGGTGGCTGAGGTGACAGGCAGTCCCTTGAAGCCCTCTGGTGGCAGGGGCATCTTTGTCTGGAAGGGTCAGGCCCGGTACCAGTGGCCTGCCCTGCCCTGCATGCACGGTCCCCCGGAGGCAAGGCAGGGACGGGTCTGCCGAGAGAACCCCAGTCCCCAGCGTTCCTCATCCCTACCACACCCTCCGAGCCTTAGGTCGCCGGGACGCCAGGCAGGACTGAGCGCAACATCCTGGGGTCCCCAGACCGGGGGCTGTCGTCGAGGCCGAACCCCCCGGGGGTGGGGACCCTCTGCCCCCAGACACCCCCCCACACACACACACTAGGAAAACACGGATCCCCCGCAGATCCTCGAGCACGGAGGGGCCGCGCGCGGGACCGGGGCGGAGCGCGCCCCCGCCGCGGGGTAGGG